TGGTTAATCTCTTCCTATGCCCCGCCCCCCGCCCTTCCCTCTGAAATACATCAGTCTATGGCATGCTTCGGTATCTCTGGATCTATTTTGTTCATCAGTTTATTTTCTTCATTAGATTCCACATATATAAGTGAGATCATGTGCCATTATGCTGTTAATATTTGACAAAGGAGGCAAAAGCATACATTGGAATAAAGACAATCTCTTCAATAAATGGTGTTGAGAACATTCTATAGGTACATCAAAAAAGTGAAACTAGACCACCAATTTACACCATACACAAGAATAAACTCACAATGGATAAAAGACTTAAATGTAAGCTGTGAAACCATAAAAATCCTTGAGGAAACCGTAGGCAGCAAAATATCAGACATTTCATGTAGCAGAATTTTTACTGATACAATGCCTATGGCAAGAGAAACAAAGGAAAAAAATAAACAAATGGGACTATATCAAACTAAAAAGCTTCTGCACAGCAAAAGAAACCAGCATCAAAATGAAAAGGGAATTCACTGTATGGGAGAACATATTTGCCAATGATACACCTGATAAGGGGTTAATTTCCAAAATACATAAAGAACTTATACAACTCAATACCAAGAAAACAGACAATCCAATTAATTGCTGGAATTACTCTTAATTTTTATGGCTGTTTATCTGGAACATTTCTGAGTACTTGTGAAAGGTGAAGAACAGAGATACCTAAGTATAGGGATTATAGATACCAGGCACACCTAAATTTGGTCCTTTTAAACCTTGGGCAGTGGCCCTGCCCCGTTGGCTCTAGAGCCCAAAACATACACCTACCACCAATTGAAGTTCACCTCCAAACAACACTACACTGCTCCCTAAGTAGTGCATGTGCCCAATAAGATCTGAGAAATTTCAGACGCTGTGCCCTGTTCCAAAATTACAAGATGTCGCTGAGTTTGGGTCACCTGATTAAAACTAGATGCACTGTTTAATCCATAAAAATACTCTGTACTGGAAAATGACTAAATCAATTTGGTTTAAAATGAATACACTTATTTTATTATTTTGTTGGGTTCAAATGTGTTTTGGTATGTCCCATGTAGAGAAGAGGGTGTGGAAGGAGGCTGTTTCCTAGGTCAGAGTAATGGGAGATGTGGATTCTCATCCTGGCTTCGTCTCTAGTGTGATGTTAGGCAAGTTGGCTAACCTCCATGTGCCTTAGTTATTTCAGATGCCAAATGGCAGCTTGCCTTCTAGGCCGAGTTCTTGTAAAAATGAGAAAATATTTCTGTCTTGAAAATGTTAAAGCCATGGTGATTACTTAAAACTATGTAGCATTTAATATGAAATGGATGCTCTTAATAACCACGTGCAAAATTAAATTTAAGAGTCACAATTGGGACATTATTTCTCCAATTAAAGTTTTCTGTAACAGGGATTGAACCCAGGCTGGAATTTGTATCAGACTAATTATGTTCATAGCGAATGAGTTGGGAATTTAGTCCATGAGTTCCTTGCTTTCTGAGGAGTTGGGTGTGAGAATTTAGTGTTGGTTGCAGGTTCTCAGTTACCATGACATTAGTCATTAGTCTGACAACCTTGTTCTTCTAGAGGAGTTAGAAACAGTAATCCTTCTGGCTTGGGGGACGCTTGTCTGTTTAGATTCCATGTCTCCAAGCGTAGTCCCCTCAGGGACCTGGGGAGAGGACGAAGGGAGGCCAACTGGGCGCCCTGGGACAGAGACCAGGAGACCTCTCTGTGCTCCACTTCCCACTCATTGTGCTGCCCAGGCCCTATCACTTGGGAGGCCTGGCAAGGAAGTGAACAGGAAGTGCATGCCACTACTGGTTCAGAATGTTCCAGCGCAGTTGGAAAGTCTGAGATGTGGCCTGGGTGAGAAGAACAAGACCTTATTGACAGGGTTCAGTCTTGTCAGGTCTGTTTCACATCAGCCTTCTACATAATCACAGCTCTCCTGCCCCCATGGGCCTCTAGCACTTTCACCTCTGCCTCAAAAAAGATAAGAAAACCACCACCTTCTGTGCAACTGTGTTAGACCATAAAGTATTTTAATTTTTTATTCCAAGAGAAATTATGAAACATGAAAAGTTTGGTGTTGTTTGCTTCAAAATGATAACACCAACAAGATAAAACAAAAATACATACTCCTTAGGCTTTTCCACTTAACATAAAAGTAGTCATCGTACCGTAAATGCTTTTTCTATTAAGCTGTTTTCTTATTGATCAATTTGTAAGACTACTGACTATTCTCACATTTCCGATGATCATGGAGAATGACCCGCTTGTCCTGGTCAGAATTACTTAACCCCCTCATCTGATTTAGTTTGTATATTGGATATATAAAAATTAAGCAGTTGTGTATATTTTAAGATTGAAAGGAAAGGAATATGCCAAACTACTTTTCTTTTTCTCCACTTGAGTCTGCCAAACCAGAATATTTACGTCAAAAAGTCAGAAGAAAATCTGCTGGAGGTTTTAGTGAGCCACAGAGTATGTCCCTGTGTGCCTTGCCTGGTCATCCTGCTTAAATTTATGTATGACTTCTGAATTAAGTAATAAACATCCTCTGGGCAGTCCTGTCATTTTCCAGGACTTGTAGGTGTCTCCAAGTCAAATAGTGGTAATAATAAGGCCTTTTCTTTTCCCTGGTGTATTAGATAGGAACTTTTGAAGTCAAATGGATTATTTTAAGCTTTTTTTTGTTGTTGTTTATTGTTTGTTTTTAATCCTCACCCGAGGATATTTTTCCCATTGCTTTTCTGAGAGAGTGGAAGGGTAGAGAGAGAGATAGAGAGAGAGAGAGAGAGAGAGAGAGAGAGAGAGAGAGAGACATTGAAGTGAGAGAGACATATTCATTGGTTGCCTCCCACACATGGGATTGAATCTGCAACCCAGGTACATGCCCGTGATTGTGAATCAAACCTGTCACCCTTCGGTACACAGGTCAATGCTCCAACCACTGACCAGGGCTAAGCTTTTTAAAACAGAGCAAATCAAAGAAAACCTGAATATTCCCAGCTATTTTTGAGTAAACAAATTTCTAGTAGTTGGAGCCTCCCATCTTTCTGTGCATCTGGATGGGATGGAGAGGACCTACCTGGACTAAAAGCAAAGAGCAGTTGCAGGATTGCTTGCAAAATGTCTATGCAATTCATTTTCTGAGCAAGGCTGGTGACTTCTTATAGTATCTTTCGAATGGCGATTTCTCATACTTTCTGTACCTGCCAGTGGCACATGGAATATATTAGTTTAAATGGACCATTCTTACTCAGAAAATTTTAAAAGAATTATAAAAAACTGATTGAAAATCCCTGTGTTTAGTCAGACACCCTTATGTACTTTTCATTTTAAAATCCTCACCAGAGGACATGCTTAGAAAGACAAAGGGGGAGAGTGAGAGAGGGAGATAGGGGCAATCCATTGATTGCCTTTTGTACATGCCCCAACCTGGGATCGAACCTGCAACCCAAGTATGTGCCCTGGATGGGAATCAAACTGGCAACCTTTTGGTGCACAGGACAGCACTCAACCTACTGAGCTACATTGGCCGGGCTAGACACTCTCATTTAATGTAGAGATTAACTGCATGATTTAAGATGCATATAAATTAAGTATTTATTATTTTACTAGAGGCCCAGTGCATGAAATTCATGCACTCAGGGGAGGGGGGGAAGCCCTCAGTCTGGATTGCAAGAGGGCGCAGGTCAGGCCTCAGGATCCCACCTGTGCACGATTGGGGCTGGGGACATGGGAGGTTGGCTAGCCGGGGAGGGACCGCGGGAGGGCTTAAGGGCATGTCCGGCCCATCTCGCTCAGTCCCCATCGTCTGGACCTAACTTACCGGTCAGAGAGTCTGCCCCTGGTGGCCAGTACATATCATAGGAAGCAGTTGAGCGGCCTTAGCATGTCATTAGCATATTATGCTTTGATTGGTTGACCAGACAACTGGATGACTGGACACTTAGCATATTAGGCTTTCATTATATAGGATAAAAAAGATAAACAACTTTCTTTTAAGTTTGTGTGCATGAACACATATATTTAGTGATAATAATACAAATCTGATCATGTCTACCACCCGCCCACCCTAACCCCCACCCCAAAATCCTTTCTTTAGTGACTTTACAGAATTCTTGGATTAGAAGCAAACTCTCACTGTGCCTGGAAGGCCTCCCTGCAAAGGCGCTCTCCTTCCTCCTCTCCACCAAGGTGTCTTTTCTGTGATGTCAGCACCCTGTTATTCTCTGCCTCCTCTTCACACTCACACTGCTTTCTCCCCAAACCTCTATAACTACTTTCTCATCCTTTCCCCAGAGATGCCTTTTGCAACTCTCAGAATTAGAGTTTTGTTTTACGAAAGCCTTCTTCTTTGCCTCACATATTTTGTATATTTTACATGCATGATTTTCAAGCTTTTTTATCTCATGGCATATAAACTAATTGTTGAAATTATGTGGCAAAAATGCTTTTGCTGACGTGTCAAAAAAATAGGTATATTTTGATTTGATTCATTCATACAGAATAGCTATTGTGTTGGCTGTTGCCATTTTTTTATTTGACAATCTAAGGGAAAAGAGTTTAGTGACCCAGACTAAATAGGTACTGCATGTTTTAAACATTCTTGGAGCACATTAGTTTAAATTCGCTGTTTTAGACACCAGTGTAGCCAAACCTAACTCTAAATCCATTTGCTTCTGAAGTGTCATGTTCTTTCTTTAGTCCCATGTTAATCCCCTGGATTTTAGCTTCTTTCTCTGTGAGTAGGACAATGATAACACTTTCCTGTGCATTCAAATGAAATAATGTCTATGAAAATGTATAGTCAACAGTGGGACACCTTTTAGTGTTTACCATCTTCATCTGTATTACTTTTATTTTATTTGCCATGATTCATAATTTAAGTTCATAGAACCTCTTAAACGCTTTCCTCAAAACTCCTAGTCTTGGCTGCCTTCTTGACTGGCCATGATGGGCCTGACGTTTTTCAATTTTCCTTCTCTTCCCAGGATGGTTCATACTTGGCTGAGTTCCTGCTGGAGAAAGGCTATGAGGTGAGTGACTCAGTGAGCAAGCACAGGCTGGTGGAGTCACTCGGACACAGTGGCCTCCCGCTTCCTCTGCTGCCGTCCTCCTGTGCATGTTTTCCACTGAAACTCTGATAACAAATCATAATCAGGGGAAGAATGTGCCTTTTGGCTTGTAACCATGCCAGCTCATTGTGCTGTTTATCTACTGGTGAGCACTGGTGGCTTCCCCTGTTCCTTAGTGTTTAACTGCTCTGCACGCTTCCCACATTCTAAGATAAAGCAGCAACCTGTGTAAGCTAACATCTATAACATCATTTGGGTTAATTTATGATGTGATGTGCTACATAACAAAGTTCCACTCACAGTGAAGTCACTTAATTCGGAAATTACACAGAGCAATAAAAACCAAGTTGATCTCCGGCTAACTTAAATGAAAAATTAACACTTACAGATTTTTGCTTTCTGAAAGGTGGCCATATAATTTATGGAAGCTGAAACTTTGGGGTTCGCTGCTATCATCATCATTATTGTTGTCTTCTTTTTCTCCTCCTTCTCCTTCAAAACTTCCTGCTTTCTTTAAAAGAAGCAAGGGTACTGTATTTTAAATTTGATATAGCTTTGTGTGTATGCCTTTTTTAAAAACCAGTTTTCAGATATGTATATCTATATAAATTCATGTTATACAGAGAACAAAAACCTCCACAGTGATCCATATGCCCTGGCCTGATTTGGGAGTTTTTACAGTAATCATTTTGGATTCTCTGTTTATCCCAATTGGAGGTGCATCGCTCTATAGGCAAATGGGCAAACACCGGCAAGGAATTTGGCAGCTAACTGCCAAAAGCATTTTAAGGAAAGGAAACTTATTTTATTACTTTAACTCGTAATCTTTTCTGAGAGCCTTGACTTTTAGACTTTAAGAAGTAATATCAGATATGTTTAGTACCTTTTGTACCCTTATCTAATAGCTAGTTCTGTATCTTGCAATAATATGAAAATAAGGCCATGTAATTATGAATGTATTATACATGTACACATATATTTATATACATAGATTCCTACTATAATTGAGTGATAAACACATATTCTAAAGAGCAACAGATTTTAGAATAGATTATATATCGTACAGAAGAGTTTTTTTAGGTGCAGACTGTTTTTTTAAAATACACTTTTCTTGATTTTAGTGAGAGAGGAAAAGAGAGGGAGACATAGAAACCTCAGCGAGAGAGAAATACCAGCATTGATCCATTGGCTGCCTCCTGCACATTCCTTACTGGGGATTTACCCTGCAACTTGGGCATGCATCCTGACCAGGAATCTATCTGGTGACCTCTTAGTGCACAGGTTGACATTCAACCACTAAAGCACACCAGCCAGGCCAGACTGGTTTTTATTCTGGCAAGATTAACATAATCTTTCAGTAAATCTAAAAGGAAAGGTGTGGCAGAGAGACCTAGGACAAACAAGGGGTCTTTGGTAGCTAGAGAGGTTGTGTATTGAGTAAAAGAGAAGGCGCTGAGTAATAATTCATGAGTTCAGGACACGCTACTCTAAAATCTGGCACCTTGACATAATGGATATTTTAGATGAAGGAGCCTGAGAAAATGGCAGAAGTTTCTCCTGTAAATCTGTCTTTGTCAGTTTAATGTAGAGGAGGAAAAATTTTTCCTCGACCCTTCTAGGGTCCCTGGCTGGGTCTGAAAATAAAATTGAAAACCATACAAATTTATTTAATAAAAGTTTTACATGACAGGAAGCTTTCATGAGGAACTGAAGATATGAGAAACAATGAAACCTAAGTATTTTTATGTTAGGTTTGATGGAGTGGGGACAGTCATGGAGATGTATGATAGGTCGAGGATTGCAAGGTAAGTGCAGTACACTGGGGGAAACCTAGCAAGGTCTATTTGTTAGGATTCTTCTAGATGTACTCTTGTTTTTGCAGATAAGGATGCTCCTCTTCTCTGCGTGTAGAGAGAACACCTCTTACATGAGGGCTCTATGACTGCTTCAAGGGACAAGGGCAGGGGAAAGTCAGAATGACCATCCTGCTTCTGCCATTTCCTAAAATTCCTTCAAACTAAATTACTCAATATGCCAAGATGCCCTATTTCGAGGTAGTGTTCCCTGAACCACATTGTAGTCATCACAGTTGTGGAAGAGAGAGGTGGTACCTCAGAAAGAATCCTCGGACTGCATAGGTGTTAGGGTCTACTTACAAGGTGGACACAGGGGACTGAGACTTAAGATGAGGATGGTGGGAACAAGGAGTGTCTGTAGCTAGTCCAGAGAAAAGGGAATGGCCTTGTGAGGTATGGCGGGCTCTATGACAAGTGGTGGACTGATGATCAGGCCTGGTCTCTGTAATAGATGGTGGATAAGTGGTGGGGCCTGGTGTCTGTGATAGGTGGTGGATAAGTGATGGGGCCTGGTGACTGTGACAGATGGTGGACTAGTGATAGGGCCTGATCTCTGTGATAGTTGGTAGACAAGTGATGGGCCCTAGTGTCTGTGATAGATGGTGGACTAGTGATGGGGCCTGGTGTCTGTGATAGATGGTAGACTAGTGATCAGGCCTGGTGATTATGACAGGTGGTGGACTAGTGATCAGGCCTGGTGATTGTGATAGATGGTGGACTAGTGTTGGGGCCTGGTGTCTGTGATAGATGGTGGACTAGTGATGGGGCCTGGTGTCTGTGATAGATGGTGTAATAGTGATGGGGCCTGATGTCTGTGATAGGTGGTGGACCGGTGATCGGGCCTGGCCTCTGTAATAGATGGTGGACTATAATATTCAGACCTGTGGACTAGTGATCAGTCATGTGGTTCCTCTGGATGTGGTGGATGGTAAACATTCTCAAATGTTTGTCTTCCACTGGCATTTGAAATTTTAAGAGCAGATGTGATTTTGATAAGGATAGACAATAGAAGGCCTAGTTGGCAAGTCACACTCAATGGGTGGCATGAATCATTGGAACAATGATTGGCAAGAAAAGAGAGGTTGAGGAGTGAGATTCTCTAATGTGATATAAAGAAGTTTATAGACAGTACAGAGCTACAAAGCAAAACCAGAAATGATTCCTCCTCATAACACAGGGGAAATGTGAGTTATATAGGAATGAGAGGGAGAAAAAAGGTGTTTATCCAAAATGTATTCCATTTTAATAGGCTGCTGTCTGCAGTTTTAAGAGATTGATCAAATTGGAGAATAAATATTGAAAGGAATCTGATGGTAACACAGGCTTTATCTTTCTGTCTTAGGTCAAAGTAAATATGAGAGTGATTTTTTGAAGAGGCTACATTGGAAACTTTCCAGAATTATCAGCATCAGTCCCTCATTGCTCAAGATCATGAGCAAAATAACAGGGTTATTAAATAGCATGTAGTAGGATAAGAGTAGGATACATACCTGCATTGACAGGGTCAACATCAGCAATTTTGGGTGGGCATAGATTTCTAATTCAACATGCTCAATCTTCGATTGTGCATCAGAATCTTCCAGAGCCCATTGTAACACAGATGACTGACTCAAAGGTCTGGAATCTGCCTTTCTAATGAGACCCTAGTTGTAACTGATGCTGCCCTCCTGGGTACCGCAGTTTAAGAACCAGTGCAACTAAAGATTCAGATGAGATCATTAAATCATAAGATAATTTGTGGGGACTTGCTTCTCTGAGCTTTCATATGATTTTGAATCTGGCCTTTGTATAAGGAATATCACTAGGCTCAGAAGTAACTGGAAACAACATACTTTGGGGCAGCAATGTGTAAGCAGGAGCAAATAAACACTGGGAAGAAGAGCTACAAATTCTATGAATAGACAATATCTAGGCTGAGTTCTTAGAAAACAAAGGGGCAGACTTTAACTAGCTAGCATAGCAAGGTCAGTTTTTTATTGTGAAAATGGGGAAGCAACAGTCAGCTGGAGTGAGGCAAGTTGAAGAGTAAATGGGTGGTTGGGTAGGGATGATGGGCCTGCATGGGCAAGAATAAACTCTTAGAGAGTTAAAATAGCACAATTAAATATACCCCTTTACTCCTTTTTAGTAACAAAGAAAACAACAACCAACAAAGTAAAGGTATAAAAAGGTTGGCTAATCTTAAAGCAAAAACATAGGTTGGCAAACAACTTGAAAAGGAATGTCATGTATTAATAGATTGATTAGTCTGTATTAAATACCTTGTATGACTTCACACAGTAGATCCGAAGCTGTTGGACATAATCACCTAATTTGGCCCCTGAAATCCTCCCATCTACTAGTAGTCATGTTTTGAATGAACTATTTTCACGTGAAAAAGTGAAGGGATGCTTCATCCCTGGTCTAGTTCTCATTGAGAAGAGACTCTATTTGAAGGTTTAAAGTTACAGTTTTTAATCTTGATAGTTTCTTGAATTTTGATCAAGATTAAACATTAAGGAGAGCATAAAGAAAATGGATCAAACCCTAGTTCATTATTTATACAATATCTATAGGTGTTACTCATGATGAGGAAAACACTAAGAATTGTCAGGTTTTATAGAATATCACCCTTTAAAGTGTTATATATTTGCTTCTTTAAAAAGACAGAGAAAAGAGGAACAGAATCATAAAGAATAAAATGGCAATAACTACATATCTATAATAATTACTTTAAACGTAAATGTATTAAAGGCTCTAATCAAAAGACATGGTATAGCTGCATGGATAAGAAAACAAGACCCGCTTTCGGCGGCTGTAAGCTTGCGAGGTCCGGCCGGCCGAGGACGTCGGAGCCATTGCCCTCCCAGCGCTTCGACCCTTCCCTGAAGGCTCTCAATAAAACAGATTGTTCCAAAAAAAAAAAAAAAAAAAGAAAGAAAGAAAGAAAACAAGACCCACCCTGGCTAGGTTGGAGCGTGGTCCCATACACTAAAAGGTTGTGGGTTTAATTTCTGGTTAGGACACATACCTAAGTTGCAGGTTTGATCCCCGGTTAGGGTGAGTACGGGCAACCATTCACATGTTTCTCTCTCACATCAATGTTTTTTTTCTCTCTCTTCCTTC